GACTCGATCCGTTTTCCTCTGAACAAACTCTTTGAGACTAATGTGGTCTGGATGAATGAATTCATGGGTTGGAAGGAACTAGCTAGCTGACGCTGACGACTCAAAAGAGTCCGGTCAGGGTGCAGTGGTCCCTGGGTCCCTTTGAGAAGGAATAGACTCCAGATTGAAAAGGTTCTGCTCTGAGTTGCTTTGGTTGGAGAGAAAAATGGGCCTTGATACAGTGATATTCGCCGCTTCTTCGTTCTCTCATCCAGCTTGGTGAACATGGCAGCCAGCTGTGTTCACAAACCTCCAACCCCATGTGCTCATTCCCCAGGACTGTTTGCAGTGACCAGCAGAGACACGAGACCGGCGGGGGCACCGAACCAGTCCTGAACTGGGTGGGCTCGGCAACGCGCCTCGACTGCCCAAGGACGGCCAGGATGGCGCCTGTGGCGGGCGCGTTGCCAGCGGGCGCTTCGGTTCCCAGTGGGAGCCCCATGGGGGTCGGAGGGCGTGAGGTGGATCGGATTCAACGAGAAGACCAGGAAACCTGTGAAGACCAGGTTTGAAATGGTTTTTTCAGAGATGACGGATGTCATGCGAAGGCTTCTTCCAGACGGATGATGCGTACGTCATCTGACTGTGCGTACGTCATATGAGTCGTGGTCGCCGAGAGGTGGTGGACATGGACACCCCGAAGCACGGCTGTTTGGGGCTATTTACATAGACACCCCGAGGGCGTCGGGTCCAAGACTACACTTCCTTAGCCGAGTGAACTGACATGTCCTGAACATCCCCTGTCAGACCATTCTTTTTGATAGTCTTTGACTCGTAGGGTTTATGATGGTTTATGATGGTTTATGACCATGGGGTTGCGACTTCTTTGGCATCGAACGAGGCCTTGCCATTGGCCCCCTGAAGGACAAGCACATTGGAAGAGAAGGTGGAACGCTTTACTAGACTACACGACAGGCCTCTTGGAAATTCTTTCCAACAGCTCTTAGATTCTGACTCTCTAGACTCCAAACCTCCATTCCCACGCAGCTTGCCCTTCTTACCCCCCCAAGACCAATGCCACTCGCGGACTCACCTCGGCACGGTTCACACCGCCGGTCACGCCTCCATGGACACCAACGGCGCCGCGATCCCAACGACGCCCATGACCTGCCCGGTCGGCCGCTCGGCCGCACGCGGTCGGGGTGCGAGGTCGAAAGACGCGCGCCGCGGAGTCGGCGGCGTCCGCGGAGCTGCGGCTCAAGCGGCAGTGATGGCCATCCCAAGGAGGCAGGCGCAATGACTGAGAACTCCTTGATGAGCACTGAGCTCCTGCAGCTCCGCATCGTCACTGCCATCGGAACGAACCGGACCCCGGTGACTGTAACGAACCGTCGTGAACGTCGTGAGGACGGTGACCGTCGAAATGGGGGCCCAAAGGGTCAAGAGCCGATAGGTCCGATTTGTCCATTTCTATTATAGACATGTCACCTGTATATATGGACCTTCCAGGTGATATCTAAACTAAACAGCCTCTTAGAGGTCAAGGGGTGCCCAAAAACCACCTGTTTGTCAGGTCCTGGTATATATAGCCCCAAATCTGAAAAGGATCGGTTTGTTCTAAGACGGTTCGGGCCATAACTCGCTTCGGGCCACACGACCGAGTCGGGTCTGCACATGACCCACATGACTGGTTTCTCTCGCACCTCCGTCGCGAGTCACGACATGCCGAAGAGGTTCGAGGAATCGCTTCAGCCAGGTCAACCGCCGGTCAACCAGGTGTCCAGAGGGGCCATAACCCACAGCCAACTTAACCAGTCAGGACGTCTTTTGGCTCGTCCCCATCGTCGACCGCCTGAAAGGGGGAGGTCCCTTCTGTTTGAGTGGCAAAGAATGTGCCATGTCCAGTCCGGTACAGCAAAACACTCACAATACCGAATCCGTAAGAATCTGTAAGACTTCTTCTTTCTTCTTACACGTTCTAAAGAGGAACCTGAAAGACAAGACTCACAGCCGCCACGTGCTGATGGGTTTGGGGTCTGCTTTCAATTCCAAATACTACCCAGATTTCTTCTATCAGCAACCCAAGAAACGACCCCAACTCCTTCACAAGGGAGAGAACTAAACCAAAGCGACTCCATTTCTAACTTTTTTGACAAGGAGTTTCGCTATCCTTGCTGGGGGGGGTCTCTTCCATCGCCTTCCCGGTTGATCCCACGTGATCGCAACGTGCGATGCCGAACGCCACACTTTTGATCTAGCAGAGCGTGCTGAGCAGCTGTTCCACAATCTCCTCAGGTGGGCAGCTGCTCGGAACATCATGGATTCCCAGAGCAAAGAGAGACGAGCATCGCAGGTTCTCTACCCTGGACCTTCTTTCGGGGTGTGGCTGGCTGGAGGTCCCTGATCGTAGCGGGCTGGGGCGAAACCAGCCAGGTGACCCCGACATGAAGGGGTGACTTAGATGGTTGGAGGCCATCAAAACCAGAATCTCTTGGTGGAACCCGACGACTCGACTCCGGACGACTCCTTGGGCAGGGGCGACAACATTGGCCGAGCTTAAGACCGAAAGACCTCCAAGCCTCCCTGTTCTTTCTTTGGTTTCTAGCGGCAGAACAACCTGATAGGCCTCCAACTCTCCAACCTCATCAGCGGCCAACTCTCCAACCGAATGACCCACGTTCGTTGGCGAGCTCCATCCACCGGTCGGATCCATCGAATCCATCGTTGGTTCGACCGGTCGGAGGTTGGAGCGTTTTTGTCCGTGAATCCATGGTGGATTCAAGCACCACGAGACAGAGGTGTCCTTTAAAAAAACTGGTGTATCGTTTAAAAAGTTTAACCGTGAAATTAAAGGTATATAGTCAATGCTTCTGAACATTCTGAAGATTTCTGAAGTCGTTATCTGAAGTCTCATTCCAGTCTTAGAGTACTTTCGGGTGGAACCCGAATCTTTTCCATGACTGAAATGCAGGAATATCTCAAATTAAGCAACACCAAATTGGTGTCAACACCTTAAGTTCATCTTCTTTCGACCAATGAGGTGCTCTTTTAAGGCACCTTAGCACAGGGGCATGGGTCATGCGAGATTGTCAAGTGGATCCCCTACCACGAAGCTATTCATCTACGCTTCCCCTTGGCAATTAATTCGCCAGTTCCCTGCGTTGAAAACTGGTCTTTTTTCCGAGCTTTCTAGTTTGTGCAAGTGGCGCGGCATTTGGACGGAGAGTGAACCCGATCTGGACCTCTCAGCCAAGTCACCACACGCTTGGGGGGCGCTCGACCATAGCCGCCCGCACTGCGCGCATCGATGTCGGCACCAGGTGGGCAACAGGCTGGGTCGAAACACCTGGCTGGATGAAACGGGGGGACGAAAATGCATGGTACAATGGTACGAAGCGCTGGGGAAGAATATCCGGAAAATCCAATCTCGGGGATATGTCCGAAGATATGTCCGAAAGCACCTTGGCTTTTAGAACTGTCCGTCCATCAAATGGCAGACACTGGAAGAAAAGGTTCCTCTACTCACAGGCTGTGTCTCTCCAAAGTCAGACACTTTTCTGAAGTAAACGCTTCTTGGGATTGTCCCAATCAATTTGGCCCAATCTCCTCCTCCCAATTACCACCCTGCACTAGAAAACTTGTTCGGTTGTTGTGATCTTTGTGTTCTTGCAATGTTCTTTTGGTTCGCTCTTGTCAAGTATATCCTAATCCCTGTAACAGTGGATGATGATGGTTAGTTATATAGTAAAGGCCACTCTCTAGGTAAGTTCACTAGTCACTTTATATTATTTGCCAATTGGGACACCCCCAATAAATACAAACAAATGGAATGAGCCGCAAGATTGGTTGTCAAAAACACGCCAAAGATAAAGCTCCTCCTCCTCCAAATACAACAGAATCCGAAGATCATGGCCGAATAATGTAAATGTGAAAGTTCTCTTGACACTGCACATCCTTAACGCGAATAGACATGAGTGCTGGAAAAAAGTGTTTGCACCCAATGAAACAAACCCTTTGACATCCTTTGACCAATTTCATCACGTCCCTTCAAAAAGACTATTCGTTTTCCTGCGGTTCTTGTCTTTGCACCTGCAACTTCATTCCCTTTGAATTCCTTGTGTTCACCAAAGGTGACAGGAAGTGTCCCGCTGGCCATGGGACTTCAGAAGGGTTGAGTGACAAATCACGATTCGCATGGAGAACATGAGAACACTCCCAACACACCCATCCCAAGTCCCCACTCCCTTCCGCCCCAAGTCCCACTTCAAGGCAGCGCCAAACTTCAACGGCAGCGCCCCCGCAGCTCCGGCACTTCGGCAGGTCGCCCCGGCACGCTCCCAGGCGAAGCGTTGCTGCAGCGCCTTCAGCTGCTCAGGACCTGCCCAGTGGTGCCCAGCTAGAGAGACCGACATCGAATGACCGAATCGAGTCACGAGGCTCGTCACAAGTCACGAGGCTCGTCACGAGGACTCCTTTTGTGTCTCCCAGCTACGAGGCACCATGAGGCTTCGACCTGCCGTCCTTCTCGCCGCACGAGTCACTAGGACCTTCACCTCGGAAGTCGCGACCGGCTCGCCCCGTCGCAGCGGGGACTTCCCTCGCAGCCGCGGGGGTTCCGAAGCACCCGCAGCTTCCCTCAGGTCCTCGGCTTCAGCAGCCAGGTCCTGCGAGGTCCGAAGCCAGGTCCTTCGTCCTCCGAAGGAAGCGGATGGAGCGCCGAACTCATCGGTTGCCCAAAACACCTGCCACGATCACAAGGAGCAACAGATGGGACAAGGAGCACAAGAGGCAAAATCTCGCTGAGCCTTTCAAGGGACAGAAATATCCGGCGGGGTTTCACCCACATTCCTCTCCTTACATGTTGGGTGGATCTGAGAAAGAAAACCTTCGGAATATAGAGGTGACGGCTCTGTGGAGAACACGCACCTGTCAATACAAACTAGGAGTTGAAGTCCTTCAACATCCTGCAACCCCCTGTCAGGGACCCAGCCTGCAAAATTGGGCCTGCGCCGCCACGTTGTTCATGTCACATCTGCTTCTTGAAAGCCTCTGCCAAACCAGGGTGTTGTTTGTCTGGAATTTGGGGACAAACCCAAATTCTCCTCTGAGTGCTCTAGGGCTAAGGACTAGGATCTTCCTGTTCGAGTCATATCATCTTGTCTCAACTGGCACAAGTAAAATCTCTCCACAAATTAAAGCATAGTGAAGCCCCGCCTGCACCGCCAGAAGTTTCAGCTAACTCGATGCTACTAGGCCCAGCATCGTTCGGCGTCTCATCAAACTTGAGCCAGTTCTGAATTGACAAAGGCAACCATGTGAGGGCTGGTCTCAGCAGCGTCTGGGGGAACATCACGAAGATTTGAACTGGCAGCAACAAGAAACCACCCAACATCTTGGTGCTGAGCACATACCAAATTTGCATGGCGCCACTTGTAATCACCGCAATGTGCAAGTACGTATATGACACGGACGCTTTTAGGTCATTGGTGTCATTGGCATCTGTTGACAGTCCCACATGAGATAAAGCGAACTGCACAAGCAGAAAGTTGGTAGCTACCGCTGCCAACAGTGCTATGCTCAGCAATGGCACCAGAGGGCCCCAAATAACAGCAATTTCAAGCCATGTGGTCAGCTGCACATGCTGGGGCATTGAGTTCATGGTCTTGGTCACCTTGCCCTTGAGCCAAGAAAGAAACCCGCTGAAGCACCTGCGAGTCCTCTCAGAGTGAAACTCGTTCCGGCCGAGAAGAAGGTGAAAAGCCAATGCCAGAATGGATGGAATCAGGATAGCCTTCAAGAGAGTCTTCTTGATGAGGAACGTCCCCATGCTTTCAACCACCGAGCGGCTACAAGCACCATCGGTGAACCATCTGAAATCTTGCAGATCAAAATGGCAGATCTCCTGAGTGGTGAGAATTACATCATCAAACACCTTCCAATCGAAGTATGCTTGCTTCTTGTCACGGCACACTTTCCAAAAGAAATGCTTCCAGCCAGCTGCGCAGTTCTCATGTAGCAAAACTGTTGCAACGACCGGCGACAGCCATTCGGAGCAAAGCTTCATCATCATCAGCAACCGGTCAGCCTTGCAGGGTGATATGTTTTGCAAAACACCACTTGTGGAGTTCCCGCTGTTGGGCGAACATGCTTCAGAAAGGGTTCTGGGAAGGCCCAGGGCCCAGGCATGTTCTGCATACGGGTTCCCCGCGCGATGAAACCGTGCAAATTAAGAACATGGCCATGGCATGGAATGGTTGGTAATGAGTCCCGAATTGACTGCGGAGTCCACCAGAAATCTTGATAAGCCTATACCTGTGCTTTTGTCAGATCGATCAGCAAACAAACACTCTGTAGAGTTGCGCGTCCCAAGATTGGCTGGCCAAACCACCTTCGCTGTTCCTGCTGTGGCAAAGCCGTATCTGGGACAACCTTGCATGTGGATGATGTTCCTGTTCCTTTGGGCATCTTGCTCAAAGGATGCCTTTTGCAGCGTGCGGTGGGAAAAAAGCCATGCTCAGTATCTCATGACTCCCAAGTATCTCACGCAGCTCCCGATGTATGCCACTTCAGCCCATGTGTCATCGAAAAAGAAGGCACTGGTCGGCACAGCATGCGGGACTCCCTTCGGTCCACTCCCTGCGGTCGGTCCTCGCCTTGAGACCAGTGGCCTTCGAGAAGACCCTGCTGAGAAGCCCGGCCAGCAACAAGTCCACGATGAAAGTACTGAAGAAAGGGGCACCATAGTGACACATCTTCAGGATGAGGTCCAAGTCGAAGTCATAGCCGTTCTGATTCGTTTTGGGCAAAGCCTGTAAACATAGGGGCGTCGATTGCGCAGTCCCAGCTTTTGACAGGGAGAGAGAACTCTACTCAAAGTATTTCCAACATGGGTTGCGCAATCGGAATTGGAGGCCTACTTGCACCAAAGTATGCGAGCTGTGTCTAGAGCCTAGAACACTGTGACAGTTCTGAAACCCATCCTCCGCCATGGCAAAGAGGATCGACGGCGAGGCAACCATCAAACACAAGCATAGCCACAAGAGCCAGTTAACGATCGATGTCCATATGTGAGGCTTGCGATCGCTGTCATCCATCTCCACATCTCCTTAGGGTCCAACGAATCTCTTCGGAATAGATTCCACGGTTCAGTGGAAGCCTCCGCGCGCACCAAACGAGTTACAAAGTCACTTCGAACGATGAGTTCACATCCATCTTCAAGTGCTTTTTTCATCCATCTCTTCTCCGCAACAACTAGGGCTTTGGCTCTGGAACAACGACCATCCTCAGGGTTGCGGAGCGAGGCCACCCTATTCTGAGAACCGACAACTTCACCCACCAGCATGAGCCAAGTTGAGGATGAACTTTTTGGACCTCATTGGGTTCTGATTGTACCAAAAACTAGCCTTTCTGTAACTCCATCACGGCCCTTTTGTGGATGATGCTTGGTACATGCCTTCGGTGATGGCTGTCTTCGACTGGGGCAGACAAAAACATCCATCCGGTTTTCACGACCAGCTCTGAGACCTGTCTTTCATCCCCGGTGATCTCCTCGTTGGTATCTGGCCCGGTCATCTTTTAAGGTGATCACGGCCACGGAATTGAACGCTGCCATCAAAGACCAAGCGAAGACCACCAAGACCTCAAACACATCGCTCTCCAAATAAGCCGCCATGCTGCGTGACAGAGTCCTTCCTGCTCTCGTATAGTACCTGGACACAGCCACACGAGTTGTTCCTCATCTCTCATGCAACACGATCCAAGCCGTCGAAGAGTCTAAACTGTCTCTGGCCATGTCTTTTGACCCTTTTGTGTGTTGTTTTCACTTGTACTGTCACAGAGAGGTCAAGTACTAGGTCAAGTCACAGGGGGGTCCATCTTTTCTTGGCTTCACAACCTCCAAAACAATTTTGGTGGATGGATGGTAGAACATTTTGGAGAAAGCTGAGAGCCCCAAGCGGTCTTAGGCAATCTTCAACCTCTCACGTTTGGCGTACGTTTGTCTCCCACCTGCTACTGCAGAAGTACATGGGCAAGATAAACACGCTGAAGGCGGCAATGCCACTGGTAATCCGCAAGACTTTCACGTAGGATTTCATCAATTTTCTGCCCACGGCATTGGCATGTTTGATCCGGAGCGCACTTTCGATCCACCTCTTGAGAGGCCAACCAATGATGACAAGAACGGAGAATTGGATCACGATCATCCTCTCACTTGTGAAGGACGCCCGTGAATTGTACAGAAATTCCTGTTCTTCCTCGTCGTGGATCCAGGTCGCATTCAACTCTTCACCAACGCCCAACATGTTGCCCATCACAGCCAAAGCCCGAACTTCCACTGATCTATCAGCGCTCATTTGGCTGGGGACCTCACCTGAGAGTCGGTTGGAATGCAAAGTGATCGATGGCCACAGCTCAGACTTCCAACAGGCATCACAAGTTCTTGGACAATTGGCCAACAAGGCTCCAGGGTCCTTGTGGTACTTGGTCGCAATCTCTTCGCATCGCAAACGCCTTTGCTTCAGCTTCTTCCCTATCCTCTTGCAGGTCAATCCCCGGAGGTAGAACCGTTCGTTGTCGATGCATCTCTTGCGCAACTTCATGTTCGGAATGGCACCACTCAGCTCGTTATCGTGGAAGGTCGCCACAGAGACATTGGTCGCCAGGGTCGGAAGGGGGCCGGAGAAGGCATTCATATGTAGAGTCACCACTGCTAGATGTTCCAAGCTGGTCAAATCCGGTAGGGGCCCACTGAAGTGGTTGTTGCCCAAAAAGAGCACCATCAAATTTCGGAAGCTACTGGACCACTCAAAGCAATCGGGAAGTTCTCCACTGAAGTGATTGTAATTGAGGTGTAGACTTACCAGGGCCATGTGGCAAAATGTGTCTGGAAAAGGGCCGCTAAAGAAGTTGTGTTCCAAACTCAGGTGCTTCAGCGCTGTGAGATTTCTCAGATTTGGAATCACACCTTCCAGGAGGTTCCTGGACAAATCCAAGGTCTGGAGAGAGGGCATGCCTAAGGCCAACGCACGGATTGAACCTGTCAACTTGTTACCCGCAAGGCTCAACTCGACCAGCTTTTCCAGCTTCTCCAAAGAAGGAATCGGACCCTCCAACTGATTGTCATTCAAGCGAAGTTGCTTCAGTCGAAAACTGGTGTCTTGCATCAGCGGCGCTGGAGGGATCTCGCCGGTCAGGAAATTGTGTCCAAGATTCAGTTTCTGTAGAGCGGTGCAATTCCAAATGACCTCTTCCGAAATCGTTCCGTTCAGGCGGTTGTATGCCAAGGACACACTTCGCAGGCCACCTTTGCAAAGGTCACCCGGAATGGAGCCTTTCAACTGGTTACGTGCAAATGACAGTTTTTGCAATTTCCGCATCCCGCCTAGTTCCCGAGGGATGTGGCCTGAAAGTTGATTGCCCGCCAAATAGAGCTGCTGCAGTTTCTCGAATTTCCCCAAGCTCGGGACTCTACCGGTCAAGTTGTTGTTGGACAAGAAAATCTGCACCAAACTGTCAGGCAAGTTTGGAATAGGACCCGACAGCAGATTACCAGAAAGGTCCAAGACCTGCAATGATATTAGTGCCCCAAGGTCAAAAATAGGCCCAGTTAACCGATTGCTGCGAAGGTTGATCATTCTCAACATCGTCAAGTGCCGAATCTCTTTGGACAGGTGTCCGATCAAATTCTTGGTGTGAATTTCAATGGCCGTGACGCGACAATGGCCTTTGATAGTCCGGAGCGACACTATATCTCTGGGAATTTGTTTGCACCTTAAAGTCTTATTTTCCAGCCTGTGTTTGTAGCTTTCATAGGGCAGCAAGTCCTCATCTGGCAGGCCCAAATCTTTCAATATGCCAGGCAAAATGTCCATATCTGCTGAATTTGCCACATTCCATGGCAGAAGAATACAGAGCACGAGGCTAATGCCAGCTGGCATGGGGGACCTGGGGAACAACACCCTGCTCTCCTCGAGCAGAAGAATTTGTAGATTTAAAAAGGGGCGGGTCGACAATTAAAAGTGAGTTGTGTTTGTTTGAAAGATGGCAAACGCGCAAGTTGGCTAAATACGCATCTATTGGAGGTTCTATGTTTCAGCATTGTTTCTCATTGTCCAACTTCTGTTGTTCCACGGCTGTAACAGGTGTTGCACATGCTGCGCTGCGTAAGAGCACCGCATTTGCGGGATTGAGCCGGAAGGAATGAAATTAACGACATTTAACGACAAGTGCATCAAATATTGCCAAGGTTGGGGTATGAGCAACTGAGAAAATATGGCACTTAAACTAGACGACAGGGTGGCCCGAAAGCACAGCAGGAGATGACAGAAGACAACGATGAGGATGAGGACTGTGACGAAAATGATGTTGATGATTGATGATGTTGACTAAGATCATGGTGCTAGAAGCGATCGTGATCCAGTACCAAGCCTTGTGGACACCGCCATTCATCCCGCTCCCCAGCGACGAAACGAATTTACACACTCATGCTTTTCGTCCCATGGCACGGAGCCACGCAAACACGCTTTCCACCAAGGCCGCACAAAACCGCATGCCACAGCGACATCACAAAAGTATCGCTCCCCACCAACACAACGCATTTACGCACCCATGCTTTTCGGCCCAACGGCACGGAGTAAAATCACGCAGCACAGCGACATCACAGACGTAAGCTTAAGTTCACGAAGCGGTGTGCCACAGACAAAAAATTCAATACAACAAGCATCGCGAATACCGCCAATCATCCGGCTCCCCAGCGGCGCAAAGCATTTACACACTCATGCTTTTGGTACGAGCTTGGTGTTACACGGCTGTATCTAGTGTAACGCACACCGGTTACGCATGTGATGTCGCTGCGCCATGCGGTTTTACGAGGCCTTGGTTGCATTGCCGCGTGCCATTGGGACGAAAAGCATGAGTGTGTAAACTCGGCGTGTCGCTGGGGAGCGGGACGATGGACGGCGTCAGTCCACGAGGCTTGATGTTACTTGGTTGTGTCGAGTCTGTGGCACACCGTGCGGCAGTGGCGAAATTACGTCTGTGATGCCGCTGCGGAATGCAGTTTTGGTGGGTCTAGGTCGAAAGTGACCAGTCATCCTGCTTCCCAGCAACATGCCGCGTTTACACCAGCATGGGCATTCAACCACAACTGCACGGCCTCACGTGAACGCACTTTCCACCGATGCCGTTCCAAATCTACATGTATACCACAATGTTGCCACAGCTCCCACAAGCTGCTTACCGCACTACATGTGCACTACAAAGTTGCCAGTTCTGAGGCCACCCGCTGCCTGCACTGCACTTGCAATACAAAAGTTGCTAGTTGAAGCCCCAACAACCAGAAGCTTGTAGCACAAATGCAAAGTATATAGTCAGTTCTGAGCCCACAGCTCCCAGGAGCTGCTCGTACTACACTTGCACTGCAATGCAAAGTTGCCAGTTCTGAGGCTAGTTCCCAGAAGCCGCTACATTTGTACTAAGATTGCAGCTCCAAGGAGCTGCTCCCCGTAATACGTGTGTACTACAAAGTTGCAGTTCTGAGGCCACAGCTTCCAGAAGCCAGTTCTGGCACTGCAAAGTTGCCACTTCTGAGGCCAGCTCCCAGAGCTGCTACATTGGCCACCAAGAAGTTACCAGTTCCGACACTCGGACGCAAATCATGACGATCTTCAAAGTTCTTCAAAGACTCTTTAAAGCTTGGCCCGGAGGTTCGCATGGACTGTTTGCTACGGTTGGACTTGGGACCCTTACATACCCTCAACTTGCTCGATTCAATGCAGCTGGGCGCAAGGTGAAAACCAAGGTGATTTGGAACTCCACTGTTTGCCTCACGCCATACTCCTCCCAGAGTCTCAAAGAGGCTGTTCGTCCGCACGCGGTGATAGCTGTCTCTTTGCATCTTGGAGTTGACGACTCCTCAAGAAATATCGACCAGGTCATGGCGGGTGGCTTCTTGATGGTCATCTTTCACCAGCTCTAGTACACCACCTACCAGTTGAAGTGATCCGAAATGCATGCCTATTCTGGCTGGGCCCTCCAACTATCCCCTCACGGGAGATCATGTTTAAAAAATTTGCTTTTTGGTCCAACCCACAAAGCATACATGGAGAGCAGAATGGCCAATGGCGGTGGATCTGATGGATGCAGAGCTGCTGCAGCGCCACCATGAACTCTGCCATCATTGCTGGTGACACCACCAAGCCCAACCTGAACCTGGACCGGATGACCCATGAGGACCAATGGTCCAGCTCTATAGCTACAAACTCCATCCAAAACACTGACGCACCATGTGTCAGCTTTCCGCACTACCGCAAAGACTTTACTGAAGATTTTGATCATGAATGCCTTTGCCTTTGACTTGACAAAGGTCCATGCCGCACGTGCTGCTGCCAGAGTACTTCAAGATCTTGGCTGCTGAACGCAGCTAGGCTGGTCCCTCGACATAGGCCTTGGACCCCCGCGGCGTGCAGAATGGACTGAAGAATAAGAAGTCCAGGTCCAGGTCCACGCTAACTTCGACTCCGAAGTGCGTTAAGAAAGAAAGACAAAAAGAAAGGCAGAAAGAAAGAAAGAAAGAAGGAAGGAAAGAAAGAAAGGAAAGAAAGCAAGGAAGGAAGGAAGAATGGAAGAATGGAAGAATGGAAGAATGGAAGCAAGGAAGCAAGGAAGCAAGGAAGCAAGGAAGCAAGGAAGGAAGGAAGGAAGGAAGAAAGGAAGAAAGGAAGAAAGGAAGAAAGGAAGAAAGGAAGAAAGGAAGAA